CACCCAAATACATTAGATGACCTCTTGAGGTCCCTTCCAACTGATATTCTATGATTCTATGATTAAGAAACTGATCTCCATTTATCTTCACTGTCAGATCTCTGTTCAGAGGAGATGGAAGAGAGAAATCACTCGGAGGTGACTGAGTTCATTCTCTCAGGACTGACAGATCGTCCAGAGCTCCAGGTTCCCCTGTTTGTGGTGTTCCTACTGATTTATGGTATCACCCTGATGGAGAATGGGGGGATGATCTTGTTAATCATGACTGATCCCCGACTCCACACCCCCATGTACTTTTTCCTGAGTAATTTGTCTTTCTGTGACCTCTGTTTTTCCTCGATAATTTCCCCTAAGATGCTGCAAAATTTCTTAGCCGAGAGGAAAAGCATTTCTTACACTGCCTGTGCCGTGCAAATGAATCTCTCTGTCATTTTTACAGATGTTGAGTGCCTGTTGCTGGCTGTGATGGCGTATGACCGTTATGTGGCCATCTGTAACCCGCTGCTCTATATGGTCACCATGTCCAGGCAGCTTTGTAAACAGCTGGTGGTTGGGATGTACGCTGTGGGGTTGGTGGATTCAATCATACAAACATGTTTTACATTTCGGCTGTCATTCTGCAGCTCCAACATTGTCAAACATTTCTTCTGTGACATCCCCCCACTGCTGGCACTCTCCTGTTCCGACACCCGCATCAATGAGATTGTGATCTTTGCTTTCACATGCTGCATTACAGTGAGCAGCTTTGTGACTATCCTCCTCTCCTATGTCTATATCATCTCCACCATCCTGCAGATCCGCTCTGCCGAGGGACGGCGCAAAGCCTTCTCCACCTGCTCTTTCCACTTGACCGCTGTGGTCCTTCTTTTTGGCACAGTCCTCTTCATGTATTTACGTCCCACCTCCAGCTATTCCATGGACACGGACAAAGTAGCCTCAGCGTTTTACACGCTGGTGATCCCCATGTTGAACCCCCTCATCTACAGCCTGAGGAACACTGAAGTGAAGGACGCTCTGAGGAAAACCCTGAATAAACTCCTAACCAATTCTTGAATCTGTTTAACTCAATACTGGTTTAGTGATGTGGAGTGGAAACAGATGAATTCAATTCTCGGGCCATTGCAATATTATTTCGCAGAGCCCGTGGTAGTATTTTTCATTATTGTATTGTTATTATTATTAATTTGTTTGTATTCCAACAAGGTCTGCCGGCCCCAACTGAGTGCAGTGAACAAAACACGGGAAGCATCACAAACCAAAGAGAGAGAATGATTCTTTAGGCTGGTGGCTAGGGGTATCAACCTAGAGGGTGAGATGCTCAACTTCACGTCTCTGTTCCAAGGGTTATTTAATTAGTTAGCCACAGTAGAACAAAGATTGAGAGCAACCCAGACTGGAAGAGCACATGACTCGGGGCTGGGATGCTTTCTGGAAATGCAGGAAACCCAAATGCATAGTATGACAGATTCGGTCACAGAGTTCCTTATTGGAACTGTCACCTGATGTGCTGAAATTACCTCTGATCCTGTTTTCCCTGCTAGCCTGGGTCTCCAGAACCCTGCCTTGTTGAGCCAGACATGCTAGCCTGCTGCAACACAGACCCAGGGTCTGGGCCACACCCTCAAAACTGCAGATCTAGACTGAAACCAGCTCAGCAGGATACCTGTCTTCAGGATGCAGACACCCAGCTGCCAATGGGATCTAAACCCCAAATAAATCCGTTTTACTCTCTATAAAGCTTAGTAAGGGTAACATGATAAATGCTCACCCCCTATATCACTGCAAGAGAGCTATGCAAAACTGTTTGCCACCCCCCTAGGTAACAATTACTTACACTGTGTTTATAAATAAACAAAAGTGATTTTATTAAGTATAAAAAGTAGGATTTAAGTGCTTCTAAGTAGTAACAGACAGAACAAAGTAAGTCACAAAGCAAAATAAAACAAAACATTCAAGGCTAAGCTTAGTACACTCAGAAATCAGTTACAAATGTTAACTTCTCACCCCAGTTGTTACTTCAGGTAAAATCTTTCTCAGGTCAGTTGCCTTTTCTGACCTTGGTTTAGCCTGTTCTCACCCACCCCTGTGGTTACAGTCCTTTTGTTTCCAGGTATCTCTGTGGGGTGGGGAGCCTGTCTCTTAAGCCATCTTGAGACACTCATTGTTTCATAGAATTATAGAATATCAGGGTTGGAAGGGACCTCAGGAGGTCATCTAGTCCAACCCGCTGCTCAAAGCAGGACCAATCCCCAGACAGATTTTTGCTCCAGATCCCTAAATGGCCCCCTTAAAGATTGAACTCACAACCCTGGGATTAGCAGGCTAATACTTGAACCACTGAGCTATCCCTCCCCCCACTTTATATAGAACTTCCCGAAGGCAGAAATTGATAAGGCAGAATAAATTGATAAGCCCCGGCACTGGCACGGGCAACACAGGTGAAAAGAGAAAAGGGTTTTTGTCAGTCCCGAATCAAGCACGGGCAACACAGAATTTTAGAGTGATTAGAAATACCAACCAAAGATCTTAAATACAAAATATTCAGACAAAATTTGTCCTCTATAGACAATGCTCAGGCAGAACCAAAAAAGCTGCTGTGTATACAAGAGATTATCCCTTTTTTACAAATTTTGTAGAAATTTGGCTATAGCCCATGGATGGAACAAGCAATAGCCGATGTCCACACCGTAGCCGATTTGGAAGACAAATTGGCAAAATATTTGTTGATTTATAAACCTTCAACCCCAATAAAAAAGGATTCGGCTGCATGCTGGCTAGTGTGGGAAAACTGTAATGAGGCATTCTTCTGGCTGGCAAATTGCCAAGCAGAAAATACTACACTGTGTGAAAAGCTCGGCGCGAGTGAGTGAGACGCAGATGAATGGAAAGTATTGACTACGGGGGTCCATGGCCAATTGGACATGCTTAAGGACACCCTACAGGAACTAAAAGGAAGGGGAAAGGGATTACTGGAACAGATAGAGGAAAAAGATAAATTATCAAGAGAAAACCAAGTCCTACAGGGCATGTTGAAGAAATTAAAGCTAGAACAAGGCAGAGCTCCTGCAAGCATAACCGCTGTGAATCAATTATCAAGCAGCTTAAGCAGAAGCTAGGCTTCGCAACCCACCAGGTTGCAGCAGTCACAACAGGAGAATGGGATCAAACCTTGCCCAGAGGAAACCCAGACTGGGAGGAGGAAATATGGGACCCCAGAGAAACTTGGGAGGGGGATACATGGGACAATCCGCAGGAATGTAGGCATGATGAGCGCACTCCCATAGCCCCGTTAGCAGTGACCCAATGCACCATGGTAATGACTCCCGTAGATGGTGGGGGTAGCATGACCGTTACCTCAGTTCCAGTATCGGCCACCGAGTTAAAGGTGATGGCTGAACATTTGGGGACACTGAAGCGAGACACCTTTTCTAGATGGTGTACCAACGCATTTTTACTTGCAGCAAGGGAAGGGCTAACTACCTTGGAAGTCCATCGACTCATTGGGGTATGTGCGACCCCGGAAATTAAAGCCTCTGGATAGATTGGTTGTTACCGAGGACGTTGGTATCCTGGGACTAATGGCAACATTCGGGGAACAGATAGTCAGGCGTAACTATTTAGCACAAGTTGTAGCCTCCATCAAGGAGCCTAATGAGGACCCCGAGAATTAGTTAGCTAGATGGGATCTGATGCAATAATGGCTGGTCTGGTAACAGTTGACGGTGCCACCACGGTAGATAAGCTACTATTCAGCATCCAGTACTTAAGGGATTTCGCTGCCTCTTTGGCTCCCTATTACTCTGGTAAACTTGCAGTTTGGCAGAATAACCATCCAGTTAACCTAGGGAAGCTCAGGGAACTGGTCCAAAAAATAACCATTCACTCTGGACCACAACTCACTATAAAGAAAGAAAGGGTCTTTTATGTGGAAATCTGTGGAAAAGGTTGAACACCAACACCTGGCTGCTGTACAGGGAACAGCTGGAATTGGGAAACAAAACTGCCTTAGCCATGAGGTGCACTGAGATGCAAATTCTTAGTTTAGCATCACTCGAACATGAAATGTTCTGGGGAATATCAGGAAATGTCCAAGTACTGGAACACCTTTGAAAATAACGGAAACGATTTTTGTTTGATGCCAATAAGCATGAATGGATACAATATGTCTCCAGCATGGTTAAGCCTGAACTACTACTAGGAGAAATCATTGTCAAAATTGCCCATCAGCCATCTGTGGAGGCAGAGATATGGAAAATCGGTCCACTACCAAAATTAACCATGGGATCTTTCTGGTTACCTCACATTGTGGGTCAGTGGGCCAGGAAAGAGAAAAGACTATTGGACACACAGCAGTGTACAGAGTGGGACCCTCACAAATGGGTATGCCTCTCCCTGCCTGCCACCACAGAACCATGCAGTAGGGTTACATCGCTAGGCATATGCATTTGGGATGAACTGGAAAATTTAACCCGTGTTTTATATAATGGACAATGTGTATGTCTTGTATCCTGGAAAACAATATTTTGGGAGGATGAAAGAATTAGCCAGCCACCAGTGGATGAGTGCAGATGCAATACTAGCATCTTATACACTAATAACCACACTTATTACCTTCCTAAGCTAGAGAAAGCCCAAAGTACTGTGATTGCCCCCTTAGTTAACTTCTCCATCTCCCTCAGTTTGGATTGTCAGGAATTAGCTGATCATCTGCTTCTAGAAGCAAAAGTAACTCACTTTTTGAAAGAAACACAAAAGGATGTGGGAAAGTGAATTCTCCAGATAAAACATGCAAATGGAGATATGATTAAAATAACTAATTCTGAAAAAGAACTCACAGCATATCATTAGTATGATGTTTTTACAGGCTGGTCGCACATCCCACCTCACAGGTGAACACCCCAACTACTGGGCTAAAAATTACAAAGGGAAGGACCAAAACCACCTCCTACTGTGGATGGGTTGTGACCGGCAAATAGATTCTGATAATACCAGCCAAGACTGCACACCCATGGGGGATAATTTCTGCTACCATAGTGAAGAAGAGAATAGTCACCACTGGGCCTGCCATGGATCTCCTTGGCAGGAGGTGATGATCACAATGTCCTTGTGCATCTGCAGCCATGGATCAGTGCATGGACCCATTCCTGTGGTGACCTCACCCTTTCATGTCAATCGAACACGACTGTCAGTCAGCACCACACCTTTGGTGTTACTGGGATAGTTTCTAGGTTAGTGGCTGTGACATACAGGGTCCAACCCAGACTAATCAGCAGCTGTATCACACCTGCCTCCAACCTGGCAATGCCTTGCTGAAGGGGCTTCCACCTGGGCCACTCACAAACAACCGTCTAGCAGGCAAATCACACCCTGAGCATGTGTGTGTAACTGCAGCCTGGACAGGAACAGTTGGGTTACACTCAGGCTCTCACCACCCTTGGTTATACTGCAGGGTGACCCCAACACCCTCCCCAGTCTGCGATTTCCCTCCAGAAATGTAGGTCCTGTGCTGCCCAGTCCTCTCCTGGACAATACAAGTTACAGTGTCTGTTATTTTTTAACAGCACTAATATGCATGCAACTTAGCTTCTCAGACACTTCTATTTAAACACACTGGATTAGATAAAACAATAAAACAAAGTTTATTGACTACAAAGATAAATGTTAAGTGAGTGCAAATAAGGAGGCATAGAAGTCAGACATGGTTACAAGAAAAATAAAGCTAGAATGCAACTTGTGCCTAAGTTAACAAATCATGTGAAATTCAGAGCAAAAGTTTCCCCACCACATGCTTTCAGCCGTCTTACTGACCAAACTTCTTAAGTCAGGACCCCTCCCCCAGTCCAATGGCTGCTTCCTTTATCCCTTCAGATGCAGTGAATCAATGGGCAGAGGCAGAGATAGATAGATAGATAGATAGATAGATAGATAGAGAGATAGATAGATAGAGAGATAGATAGAGAGAGTGAGCGGTGCTTTCGGATTTTTGCCCCTTCTTTTTATAGTCCTATCCCCCCTTTGAGAAACATTTTCACATGGTTACCAGGAGACAAAAT